ATAAGATGATTGGACAACTCTTTTGCCATTGGCAGAGTTTTCTTACAATAATTTGATACATTCTTCTACTCAAAAAATACCTTTCTTTGCCAATTATGATTATCATCCATGATTTGACACTTTTGACTTTTCAAAAGTTGATAATCCTATAGCAGAAGATGTAGCAAATCAATTTTTAGAGCTACATGCAATAATAAAGGCACAATTAAAAGAAGCTCAAGAACGAAAAAAGCCAACGCAAATTTCTATCACAAGAAACAACCTCAATTCTAAGTAGGGGATAAGGTATGGTTACTTCATCGTAATATTAAAATAATTTAGAAATTAATATTACTTAAAGTTAGGACTAACAATATTGCCCTAAATCTGGCCATTTTTTTCTTTCATACAACTCTTTTGATATCAGATTAATTTTAAAACCATGATCAATCAATACTACAATTGGTTCTTCTAAATCTCTCAATTTCACCAAAGTTTTTACACTAGCCCTAAGCCAATGACTTCAAGAATAATAACTAGAAGCTTGAATTACATCTTCTTTTTTAATAAATCTTACTCACAAGACATTTCCAAAAAATTACATTTCATCTTCTTCATCTTTGTTGCTTTCTATTGCTCTTCTTTTTTATGCATTTGATAATATAGTATATCCTGTAAATTTTTATTTTTTCTTTATTGTATCAATACTAACTTTATGAAATTTATGCTTTTTAATTCTTAAAATCTTATTAATTGTAAATTCAACTTTTCTACTTAAAATCCATTCTTTCAATACTTTCTTCAAATCTTTAGCAACTTCAATATCTGATTGTAATTTATAAGCAAGAGTCTTTATTTTTTCTTTCACAATTTTTCTTTCCTTTATAGAAATATTCTTTGTTCTCTCTTCATGCATAAGATTCTTTTTTTGTTGGATTTTTTCTACTCTTGTAGTTCTTTTTTATGGTCCTTCATTATTTTTATCTTTCATTTGTTTTTTTTTATTATTATTAATGCTTTAAGTTGAAACTTTGCAATATGATCATGCACCAACAATCTATTTATTAGATCATTTTACTTAGTAATTTGTCAAATATTATTACCAACACATTTTTAGTCATTTGTAAAAAAATTCTTTTTTCAGCATAACTCATTGACTACAAAGAATTAGATTTTCTTGAAAATTCAAGATTTATGCTGAAACATTTGCTTGGATTTGCTTCCATCTAATATATTGATACTTCATTGCTTAAGATTTAAAATGCTTTCTTTGTAAGCACCTTCATGATTTTTTACCAAAGTTTCTCTCTAATTTTTTTTCACTCTTTTTTAAATGCATCATGCCATCTTTAAAAAAAACAACTCCTTTGCATAATGCCTTTGTAAAATCTTCACATTCCTTTTTTGAATAATCCACACTATCATACCACATGCACCTATGCACTACACCTTCTATTGGTCCTGATTTTTATCTTATTGATATTTTTGATGGTTGACTGTCAAGGACAAGAACTCGATGAAAAAACAATTCAGACAAGTGAGCCTTCACTCAAAGAGAGGTAACAAAATATATATAAATAAGTATATATATTGAAAGAGGAACTGGAATGGCTATTGCCAAAAGACAAGAAAACTAGAGACCCTTGAAACTAGACTAGAAGCAAGAAAGGAGTTGACAAGAGTGAAGAAGCCTTCACTCTTGTCTCTATATATACTATCTAACTAGGGGCTACGTGGCGGCGTTCTATAGGACCTCCAATATGTGTTGACTTTGTAGGACACATGCCTTGACTTACAAGGCAAGTTTTTCTACGTGTGGGCCACATAGTTAGCTTGATCTTCAAGCTAACAACATGTGTGGCACATAGCCAACTTGTTGACCACGTTTCTAATCCAAAAAGTCAATTAAAGACACCTATGAAGTCAAAGCAACGTCTACAGAGCTTCTAAGAAGCTTTCATATTAAATATTATAGAATTAACTTATTTTTATCTACTTTTACTTACTTCTACCTATTTCTATATGTAATTATTAGCTTACATGATTATAGCCGTGACATTGACTCTTCTTCCTAAGTTTTGAAACTTTTATTTATAAATCTCTCATCTCTTCTATGATTTCATCAATAACCATTTCTTCTTTCTGTAATATAACTATTGAAGATTGAATTATATATATATAATGGATAATAGGTATTTTTACCTTTGATATTTATAATGGTCTTTGAATATCCATTGTATTCTTTTTTCTTTCTCTTTTCACAAGTAATCCTATTGTTTCTTCTACTTCCTTCCAATTAGTTATTAATCTTTCAACTTCTTCTTTATCTTCAAGCAAGATTTCTAACTTCTCTTATAACTATCTATTAATTGTTTGAAAAAAAATCTCCACTTTACTTGAATCCAATAATTACCTCTCTTTCTTTGATTAATGAAAATATTACTTATTAAATATTTTTAATAATTTTTTTGTTAGAAGATCCTTCTTAGGCCTTTCAATAAATTCAAAAAATGACTTCTTTGTAACTTGATTACTATCTTTCAAGAAAAATTCATTCTTCAATGCTTATGAAAATTTCTTCCATGAACCTCTTAAATGTCCAATAATGGACTTCACTTGATTTCTTATCTCTAGTACAATAGACAATTCAAATAATTAAACCATCTTCTTTTTTAAAGCACACTTCAATTCCATCTCTTATATATGATACTATAAATATTTTATACTATCTTTTCCTTCAAATTGATCAATCTTGTCCACAACTGCTTATAATATTTTGTTTGTCATACCCTCTTTGTGATCTTTAACATGTTGTTGTTGCATAAATAGGACAAAAGCTTCAAATATTCTTACGGAATTGGGATCAAAATACATACCTTGTCCTCCACTTATAGCTCTACTTCCAACTCTACTTGAAGCACCATCAAAAACCTTTCTTTCCATTCTCTCATCTTTCCTCTAAAAAATTCAAATAAACCAAAAAAAATTCCAAACACCTTCTACCTCAAGCTTTTTATGTTGGATTAACCAAATATTTCATATTACTTGTATTCTTGCTTGAGAATGCATAAGGCATCTAGTTAAAGAAAGTAAATAACAATACAAACCAATTCTACCAAGTCTAATAGAGCCTTAAATAAACTTCAAGTAATTTCTAATAATCCAATTAAACTTTAACTTATTGAAATAAATTTAAAAGAAGCCACAAAAAAAATATAAAGAATCCTAAAGAAATACTAAAAATAAAAAATCTTAATGAAATTCTAATTGAATCTTAACCAATTCAAGGTCAAATTCTAATGAAATCCTAATGAAATCCTAAATCCTAAAAAAATCCTAGAAAACTTTTAAATCAAACCTAATTAGAATCTTAATGCAAATCTTAATGCAAATCCTAATTCTAATCAAAGCTTAGATCAAATCTTAAACCAAACTCTAATCAAATCCTAGATCTTAAATAAATTCTTAACAAATCCTATAGCAAAATGGAACTTTAGCAAGTAATAATCAAACTGTTGATATTAACTCAAAATTTTCATACTTCTTAATATCTTAGTTAGAAATAAGTACAAAAAAGATGAAATTAATCACACTTACTAGTTGAGAGAAATGCAAGATAATCCAATTGAGTACTGAATGATCTCCTATTCCAACCTAATTGCTGCACTTCTAGCGCCAATATCTTCTTTTTGAATTATTGAATCGCTTTCAAATTTCATCTAAATGTTGGAAATCATGTCTAATATCCATAAAAAAAATTAAATTAAATTCAATACAATTGATAGATTGTTGAAAAACTTAGAAATACTCATTGGCCTTCAAACTCTAATTTCTAAGACGTCAATCCACAAAAACCTTCACACACGTCGATTTAACCATTTCATTGACCTCAAATTTTTCATGCACATTTACAAATAGCTCAATAATACATTGCTCAAAATTCACCTTATATACATACAACAAAATTCAAGAAATCTTCAAATTTGTAAACATATTTTTATTTTTCAAAATCTAAACCAACCAAGAATATTACTAACTTTGAAAATCCTTCAAAAACTCAATATTGATTCAATTAACATAAAACCAACATCCAAAAATCTTTCCTCAATTTTTTTCTCAAATTTTACTCTCCAATCTACCAAAGAATCCTAAAGTTATCATAGGTGCACAGTTTTGTGCCTTAGGATCTGATTTCAACTCAAGTTGACAATTAGTCCTCTCTGGGTATCAATTCTTGGCTTCTTGCGGTAAATTTTGCTAAAATCTACTCTTAACTCCTTCCTATACATGCCTATATTATTTAATTTTTTAATATAATTTATTTTGCCTTATTTATGGTCCTACAAAGTTAGTAGAAGCCTATTTTATAAAAAGGCAGCATTAGCTATTACCAAATTTTTACTTATGTGGGATTTGTTTCTTAATCTTTTGCAACTATTAAGCAAGTAAAAATTATTAAGTAAAATATTATTATAATAAATTCTAAATTAGCAAAAATATAATAATATAAACTTTTTAGTTGTTTTATATATATAGATATATATATGTACAAATAATTGATTCTTTATAAATATAAACTATTCTAAAGATTCAACCTTTTTTTTTGAAATCATTTTATTTGATTATATTTTTGATGATCCACATGTCTAAACAAATCAATTTGAGTTTCAAAAAATAATAAACACACATTTTAAAAGAAACAAAAACAAAATTTAAGGAATTAGAACGGCTATTGTAGGGTAGTGAAAGAATATGCAATTACAAACAGAATAAAATCACCAAATTATATTCACAACGTCAGAATAATCTCAATTTTTAATCCAAATGAAAACATTTCACTGAGTAAGCAAAAGGCAAGGAACATTTACGCCAAAGACAGAGGAGCCTATTCACACAGCAGAGGGGCCCATTCCCGCGGAAAAGGGACATCTATTGCCACGGAAGGGGAACCCTATTCACACGGCGGAGGAGGAATCGGGCAGGCCGAGGCCCTAATAAGAATTATAAGGGGCGGCCATGCGGCAGACTGGGGCTGTCTATACTCCCATCCCTCCTCTTGCAACCTCGCCCAATTGCACCGACGTTGTTGCCCTCATCGCTTCACCCCCCTCAGAACCCTACTGTGGATCTACCGCTCTTCCTCAGATTTGAGGTTTGCCGCTGGTGGGTATCCCGAGGCGTTTTGGGTTTTTCTGGGTTGGAGGGTGCGAGAAGCGGACCAGAGGAGGGGAAATAGGGGGCGTGAGAGCGAGCGAGTGAGAGTTAATGAGCAACTCGGAAAATATGGATAAGCAGCCGTTGTCTATGGCTGATCTCGGGGTGGCCCTGCCACCGACCTCTGGAGGTAGGGTGTCTTCTACTTCTTCTCCTTCTTCTTCTTCTTTTGGTGGTTTTGTGGATAATAGTGTGATCTTGCTCTGAGTTTCTGATTCATTTCATTCAGTTCGGTTTGTGAACAGTGCTCTGGATTTCAGTCTGGACGCGAGTGTTTTATTTATTTATTTGTTTGTTTGTTTGTTTGTTTTTTTTGAAATGAGAATGAACTGGTGTGTGAGGTGCTTATTTGTAACATCCCGGAGTAAATTCTAAGTGTAAGACGTTTGTGATTTCGGTGTGGTATTTTTAGAAAGTGTGGAATGCTTGAAGCTCGGAGCTTACATAGCTCAGTGGGGTTTGAAATATAATCTCAACGTTGAACAGACTTAAAACTGTTTGGTCTGGCGCGTCTGAATGTTTAACTGACATGTCCGAATCAGCTATGTATCGAATTATAATCCATAAAATCACTGTCCAAAGATTTAGGTTAATCCTAGGGGTCGCTGTTAACTCCATCGATTTCATTTCTTAAAAATATATTATTGTTTTCCGAAAACGCGCGGTGTCTGTCTGTATCAATCAGTTGATGTAACTAGGCTACGGCTCTGGCTCGGGCTTTGTCAAGACTCCTCATTTTCTTTGCGTCCTCCCACCCAAGATTGAGTGTAGAAGATTCATATGGTTGTAGGTTTACTTGTCATATTTATGTATTGACTTTCTGATTTAGCGCTATGTAATCGCTAAAGAAGTTCTCAGTTCCCTGTGCCTTTCATCTTGGCTGATGATGATAATAGCTTTATCGGGGTTGTGCAATTGCAACTACCTTATTCTACCAGACACAACACCTTTTGCTGTTCATAATTTGGTCAATGCCGACGTTTTGCCATAATATGGATGAGGTTTTTCGATAACTTGACTACATACTCCTTGGCCGCCCTGTATTGCAAAGGATCATCGTGGAATAAATAGAGTCGTTGAACCGAGTGTCGGTTTGAGTTTACCTTCTACTTCTCTCTTATCAGTAATGTGGTGTTGTAATGCAACATACTATACTCAATTCTGCACCCCTTTAAATTTGCATCTTGGTCATGCATGAATCCCTGACATGCTGAAGGATTCTATGATATGCAGCTTTGAGTGCTGCTGATCGCGCCGGGCTGGTGAATGTCTTGAAGGTGTGTCCTAACTCTTTTCTTGACCACAACATTATGTTCATACCCGTCTTTTGCCTTAAAGCTCGCAGATTAGAGGATATCCGTTGAGTTCAAGAAACTGTAAAACCGCAAGAGTGATCCAATTTATTACATAGTATCTATTTATCCTTCGAGTCCCCTCCTCTTGCTCGAGCATTGATTTTTTTTTTTTTTTTTTTTTTTTTTTTTTTTGTAATATGAAGACGGTCTTGATATTATCGTTCAAAAGCTTCATGGTTACGCTCCATGTTTCACGCTTGGACCTGAACTGAGTGGTGGAATTCCAGGATAAGCTTCAATTACTAGCTGGAATGCCATCTGGTTACTTGGAGTCGCTTCCTGCTAAGGTGAAGAGACGTGTGTCAGTCCTCCAGGAGCTGCAGGTTGGTCTTCTCCGTAGTTCGCATCGAAGGAATATTTCCTTTTAATCTATGCTTGACCTATTTCACTATTTTCAGTATAAAGTTTGCAATTTAAATGTTTTTCTTGCAAGTTTCGTATTTGCCTCCTTAACTCTATCCCTCTTGTAGTCGGGGGACTAAATGGCTTTTTGGGGGATAGTATAACCACCCTGACGATTCACCACGCATGGATTACAGGCTGAGCACGATGAGCTTGAAGCTAAATTTTTTGAGGAGAAAGCAGCTCTTGAAGCTAAGTATCAGAAGTTGTACGAACCTCTTTACGTGAAGGTATGCAGCTCTGAATGTATTGAAAAAGATTTTAATCAGCTTGTGGTTATCCTTACCGGACAGTGAAGCTTCTTCAATTTGACCCTTTCAAGCACGAAAGGATAGCTGACAGATATCTGCTCTTGACTCAGCGAGCGGACATTGTAAATGGTGTTGTGGAAGTTGAGCCTGCCAAGGATGAAGCTCCTGAAGCGGCAGAGCCAGCAGAAGAGGGCAAGGAGGAAGGTAAAGACCTAGTTTTACTGAAGTCCTCTTTAAATATCATGTGGAGACTTGGGATAGAGATTGACTTCTATTTACATCCGTTTAACGTGATGTAGTGTGCGTTCTTATTAAACTCTCTGTCTCGTGCATTAATCTGGCATGTTTTTGTGCTGTAGTCAAGGGAGTGCCCGAGTTTTGGCTAACAGCGATGAAGACACATGAGATTCTGGGCATGCAGGTATGCTGAACTTATCTGAGATTTGAAGTGTTCAATGTCAGTTGTATGGAATTCACGTTAAGAAAGATTTTTGGTTACAGCACTGGAAGGCTTGATTTCACACTGACCAAGCTCTTGTTTACAGATTACTGATCGCGATGAAGGTGCCTTGAAGTTTATTAAAGACATTAAATGTTCCAGTCTCGATGAGCCAACTGTGAACAAGGGATTTAAGCTTGATTTTTACTTCGAAGAAAACCCTTATTTCAAAAATTCCGTGGTATGCCCTGCACCTTGTTATGTTAGTTAAATCCCTTTTTTTGTAGAAGAATAGCTAGGTTATACCCACTTCTTTAAATCCAAATCTGTTGTTTTGTAACAAGATTGAAAGCTGTACTGAATAGGCAGATTTTTACAGGTGATAGTTCACGCTCAACTCTTCTTTAATTGACATTTTCGAACTTTGGAATGTGTTTGACAGCTCAGTAAGACGTACCACATGATTGATGATAACGAGCCAATCTTAGAGAAGGCTGTCGGGTGAGCATCCTCTTTGTTACGTACATACATGTCTGTAGTACAGATGCGTTAGATATGTTGATTTTTTCAGACATGTGACGCAATAGTGTGCCTTGTTTTCTATTCTGCGCTGAGCTAGAGATGAGACTATTTCAACATCACAACACAATTTTTTCATCAGAAAAGTTGAATGTTTTTTGTGTTGTTGTTACTACTCTGTACACGTACTATTAGAACGGAGATCGAGTGGAATTCTGGCAAGAACTTAACGCAGAAGGTGATGAAGAAGAAAGCGAAAAAAGGATCAAAGAACACAAAACCTGTGACGAAGACTGAGAATTGTGATAGTTTTTTCAACTTCTTTAATCCTCCTCAAGTACCTGAGGATGATCAAGACATTGATCAAGAGATGGTACTACCTATCTTGAACTAATCTGTACATCTGCCTTGTGTAATACGTGTAACATTAGTTAGCGGATGTTCTTCGCTTGGAAGAACTTACCTTAAGTACCCTCAGTGTACCAACAAGTGCGTACCTTGTAGTATCGAACCTATGAGTATCCACAATGAACACTTCTCGCGTCAGTTACTGACGATTGTTTGATGCACAAATTCTTATCTCAGGTCGAGCAACTTCAAGACTTGTTGGAGCAAGACTACGACGTAGGGTATGTAACTCTTTATTTTATTTGTGTGGGGGATCAAGATTATGCGAGTGCAGACTCATCATCCTGTCTCAATCTCGATCAAACTTTCTAACCACATATTACCCACAGTAAAATTGATTCTGTAAACAAGTGATTCTTAGGTATTTCTCTGTTTACAGAATCGTCTAGTGTTCCATAGACTTGGTTTTGTCTCACACGGGATTTTTACCCTGTTGCAGGTCCACGATTAGGGACAAGATTATTCCTCATGCTGTTTCCTGGTTTACGGGAGAGGCTTTGCAAGGTGAGGATTTTGAAGATGATGACGAAGAAGGCGACGACGACGACGACGACGACGAAGATGACTATGATGAAGATGAAGACGATGAAGAGGAAGATGAAGACGAGGAAGATGATGATGAAGAAGAAGTGCGAGGCCGCAAGGTTGCATCATTTACCATTCTTCCTTCGTATTAAGTTCTGCTCATAAAATTTCACATGTTTTGCTACCAAATTCACCATAAATGTGTATTGGTGAAAATTTTTATCTTTAAAAAATGACTGGTATAGGATTTTCAACACAATGTCTGTCTATAGTTTCTGCTATGCTTGATGTTTCGTATGAATTCTGTTGCTACAGTTTCAGATTTTTCATTTGTTACGAATGCGACTTTTAATAATAGTAATTTAACCTGCAATTATGTATTAAGTTTATTTATTGATTTTTGTATTATTTTCTCTTGCAGCGTGTAGTTCCCACACGGAAGGTATTTTCTAGTCTTCTATTCAATGACATTTGAATCGTTGAATTAGCTATTTTATGTTTTCATTTGACTCCATCTTCTGCTTCATATAAATTCCCTTCGCGCCTGAATTTATTATGAAAAATACCTTGGAACTCACGAAGTATTCAATCAGGGTGGTGCATCCAAGGCGTCTGATGGACAGCAACAAAGTGGCGAGCAGCCTCCGGAGTGCAAACAGCAGTAACCTTATGGGAAGGACGGATAATTTATTTTGAGGTTGAGATAGTACATTAAAAATTGTGGCAGCATTTTGAGGGACAAGATCCCAACTGAATCTTTAGTTGGCGAGGCACCTGCAATTATTACCTAGTTCGAGTGCTGAGGTTTTCTCGTTCATCCTCGAGGATGGTTCGTTAAATCTATTTGTTCGTGATTAGTGGATAGGGCATGAAATATTGCAGTGAAATCGGATTTTTATAGAAAATTTGGAAAATGAGAACGTAATTCATAAATTCGGTGTCACTCATCTTGATTTCTCTCTGGATCGTTCCCTTTGTCCTCACTTAGTTTTGTGTACAGCCTGCAGTTGAGCATTAAAACCGTACTTTCAATTTGTGTAAAGTACCTTCTGGTAAAGTTTATAGAATGGCTCTCAACCTCGTGAGTGGACCTTCGTATCTGTGAACATGGGGTTGCCAGGTTCTTTGCGAAGCTTCTTACGTATCAAGCATCTGTAAAGCGTTTGACTGTAATCTAACAGTCATGAACAGTTTTGGTTCACATGATAAAATATCTTAAACAGATGATGAAAAATTTGATCACAGTCGGTATTAATTCGGTCCTTCACTATAGGTGAAATCAAGTAAATAATTCTTTCATGAGAGATGTGCTTCTCCAACTATTTCGAAACACCAATAAAATGACAATTCTGATTAGTCTTGTTTTAGAGAGGAATGACTAAAATTTTCACAACAGTACTGCTGTTTCATTACATAGTAAATTTGAACGTGTTACTGTGGATGTGAAGAATTGAGCATTACTTCAGAAGTAGAATTTGCAAACCAGGCAGACGAGAAAATGGAATTAGAAGCATCACTGCTACCTACACAAAACAAGCTTTGTGAAAAAAAAATTACTTCTTTTATGTTTTAACAATGAAAACTAACAATTTAGCCTAAGTTCAAAATCCCAGGTTTTGAAATCCATGGATGATGGGTAGTTACTATTAATACCACTACTAATGACTATTGGGCTCACTTTTGGTGTTTTTTCCAGGAATGAACTTGAATCTCTTAGCATTTGAAGATGGGTTTAATAGTATATCCGATTCTAAGAAGATGAAGTGACTTTGAACGACAAATTTTGACGGTAATCTGAAATGATTATAAAAATAGATGAATGGAATATCTCGATGGACCATGGACAATATAATTTGATGTTTCAATGATTTCATTGGAAAATAGTAACAACCATAATGATAATAAAGTTAGAACCCAAGTTAATTATATCAGAATAAAGGAAGATGCAATGATCATTGTTATAAACATACTGTAAGATATTTCTTTCGTCTTTCAACAGGTGTAGGAATATGTATTGGTCTTCAAAGCCAATGATAGTGTGGTTGTATTTAGACATATGTAGTAATGTGGTAGTTGTGATGTTTGTGGTTGAAATTATATGTATTTCCTAAAATGATAATAGATTCGTTCGTAGTTCTTTTCGAACTTACACTTACTGATAAGTATAATTTCATTCGGAATTTAATTTCCGAGTGCCTTCGGCCATCTTCAACCTTTGAATTATGAAAATAATGAGTCACTTACGAGACAGAAATGAACCAACATAGAACATCATGGATGAATTCAGAAATGAATAGATAAAGAAATGAGTTGACGAAGAAATGGATGTATCAGATGAAAGGAAACAAACAGACACCATTGTCGTTGCATCATGTATTGTAGAACAGCAATGACAGTTACAAGACTTGGGATCTGGTGAATGAGATATGAAATCGTCGATGTTACAATTCCATTTGCAGACGAGACAATCGAATGTTCGAAGAGTGAAACTATTCCATGGGTTTAAGGTGATGAGATTGCATGAAGCCTTCCAGCATCAAGGTGGGTCGAGCGCATGAAATGCGATGTTTCCACTAGGACCATTTTTATTCTAGATCTCCAACTCTTCAACATCACCGAATCACTTCAACCACCACAACATGATCGATGCACCAAGGTACACTTCCGGTGAACCGAAACTTCTCAGCTTCTCAACTGATCAGCTCGGAAACTGATCATTACACACACCGATCAGGACAGATCAGCCGAACGCCAACGAACGCCGAGTGCACGGTCTTCATACACATGAAAAAAAACCAACAGCAGACGAAATTCTCCAAATCCTAGACGCCAGTCGTAAGTGGTCGCTGCAGTGTAACGACTGGAATCCCCACCGAACATTTATACTCTTTCTTATTACCTTCTTTCTAACTCGTCCTCAAAAGCTGCAGAGGCTTGGTGATGATTCCAGGTGCTTATTCTTTTGTTATGGGGATTAGAGCATATCTTGGTCGCTTGTGAGAAACAGAGGATGATGTTTTTGCTTTTTGGCAATGAGCATCAAATGGGCAGATTTGCTTATATGATTCCATGACCCATTGTTGGAAGACAAAAACAAGGGAAAAAGGTCCATAACAAAAAGCACATAAAGAAAAGCAAAAGCAACATCTGTTGCCAAGGGAATTGTTTTTGGTCCAAGTGGCAACCCAATGGTTCCAATGGGTTGTGTGTACCCTAATTTTTAAATATGGAGGCATTGCTATGGTGGAGTGAATCTCATGCTTTTGTATGGAGTGTACTGTTGGTTGCAAGCACTTTAATAATCATGAATGGAATGGAAGGTGGGTATACCCATATGGTACATGCCAAATATTAACATATTAAAAAAATCAAAATATTGGAGCCACTTTCTTAAAATAAAAATGGTGCACTTGCCATCTAAAAGGTGGATTGAGTATTATGTTATCATCACCCTTTCATAGTAATGAAAAATGAGAATCCATCAATGGGGATTTTATTAGTGAATAAATAAATAAGTAAAAGAGGTTATTGCTTGCAGTTAACCATTTCTTTTTATTGGTTTTTCATTCCTATATTGGATAATCGAGCGAAAACGCACCCTTCGTATTAGTTTTCCTTTGGAAATGAGTTTGTTTATTTGCCTCTAATTCAACCTTAAACCCTGAGCCCTAATTTGGCGGGTTTTGCAGCTTTCCCGCCAATTTTAGCGAAACCCCACAACGTGTGTCTAGAATTCGATCTCTTTTTTTCTCTCTCAAGCTGCTTCGCCCGCAGGCTCTAAGTAATCGAAGCGGGAGGCTAAATTCGACGATGCCGTGTCTCGCATGAGGGAGAATGGAGCGCATCCGCGGCATTTTCCCGGAGCAGGGAGCATCGACGCTCTTCGCAGGCTGCTACAACGCCGGAAGAGATAGGCGCCTCATTAACTTCCATCTCCTCATGAGATTGGGGGCTCCGAATCGAAACGCTCGATGATGGGGAGGTGGGTTAAAATTGGGCGTGAACTGATTCCACCCAAGCAGATCCCCTCAAAATTCCATGTGCGGCGACGACCTGAACATGGCGAGGTTCCATTAGGGTTTCCACTCGCACTGGTTAGGTGTGAGGAGATCGCCGCCGTGTGCATTCTTAGCAACTGGGGTTTAATTGCTGGCTGCCTACTTGGAACCGACACGTAGACAAGAGACCGTAGCGTTGGCCATGCAATTCTAGCTTAGTGAAGCTTTGAAGGCAGCCTTGCTTCCGGTCACTAAAGCCGAGAGCCCGTTTTGTTGAAGCGGAGACTATGATCTCGTTTGCTGCTCTCTGCATCATGGGTCTCCATGCGAACTGGTGGGTCGCTGCCCTTGGAAAAGAAACCTAATCCCCAATTTCATTCGTTTTGTTTAATTATTTTTTTGTTTTACCCATGTAAGGTTACGCTTCTAGTCTCGTGCATCAAAGCCTGAACTGGGTCGCCAACTGGGTCGTTTCGAATTCGACTAGACCAGGATACTGTTCGTCGCGCATGTGGTCCACTTATTTTCCAGTGGCCGTGCCGACCAAAAGCAAGTTCCGGGTCTATTCAGCGGCGAGATAAGGCCGTGCGAGATTTCCATGCCCATCTCACATGGGCGTTAAAAAACCTCGGCCCCCACAGGAGACGCTCCGCGCAGACCGCGTGAAACAAGAATTTAACACAAAAGTCGTGGACAGCTAGTGATGATGCAGCGGACTGAGTTACGCATGCCCTGAATTAGGAGCACTAAGCCAGGGGGATTACGGAGCCTGCCCGCGCATGGGACCATACGAGAGCTTATTAGACGGATTACCACAACTAATCGACGTGAAATTGACCACTAGACAACAATTCCACCGCGATTGTCGTGCGTGGAGGGGTCGCAAAATGTGCTGAGGCTCTGGCAAATGTTGGAGTTCCGCTAAGCGATGTGACGTTCGGCTTCGGCAACTTTTGGGGTGTAATCCACTGAGTGTGTGACACCGGATCAAAGTCGGTCAACAACGATGGCTTGTTCACTTAACTGTCGACCGGCTGCCAGTGTTGGAAGAGCACTGGAAATCAGGTGAGGGGGAGGAAGACGAACGGCAGATGATAGTGAGGGAGTCATTCTGTGACAGTTGGGCTCCAACGTGGAATGCACTTCATTCAATTCAGACTTGCATGAAAAATGCACACTTGGAATTTGGATTTTTTCAGTTGGACTTCCGACGAAGCCTTCTTTCGCGGTGAATGCAACTCTAAATGCTTTTAAATTTCATTCCGTACCTCTGTATATCATCAGAGGCTCGGAAAACAGTTCAATTGGTGACGGAGTTAGAAGGTGGCGAAGGATAATGTCATGCAAAGCACTATTCGAACGAATATAATCACACTGGGAATTGGCATGTTATAGATAGTTGGTGAGAAAATACCTGTGTCCAATGAAATATCGGGGAGAAATATTATCGATGACACTCTTAAAACAGAGTCATGGTTTTGTGAAGTCAATCCGCGATGATATATTCGCAATCTCGAGACAAACCCTCTTGGCTGCACCGTCGGAGGAAAGGGTGAGGGATTCCCTAAGTACTTGATGTTTTTGTTGCAATTTTAGTAACGATTTTTTTTGGGGTCCGGTTGATTGGTTCCTAACGGAGGCACCCAAATTGAGGACAGTAGGGGGCTGGGGTGGGGATTACATCAGCGAGAAAGTGAGCAACGAAAGCAAATGATCAGCAATTATAACCAAATAGAGTCAGGAGCCAAGTATCGCGGCGCAGCCATAAATGAGACAACCGGCTACCTCTCCCCTGGGCTTGCGATCCCCACGCCTCCTCTCTCGCCACCTCCCCAGTACTAGTCCAACCACCCACCCTTTCTTTCCAGCCTTGCGGATACAGGATAACATGATCTAATTTTAGGCTTCTTCCCATCAACTATCAATTTAGTATTGCTCAATCCTCGTTATTTGTCTTCGGGGCCCTGATCTGTCCAGCAATCCTCTCAGACATCTTCAAGCACGAATTCGAGCAGATGAGATTATTGGGCAGCAGGATCATTGAAGCGCAGGGACAATACCTGCTGGGGATTGACGGTGAGCAGATATTAGGAACGAAATGGGGTACCGACTATAGAGCCGTGAAAAATATGAATTGTATTGTGTGATTGGCAGCGTAGAAGAAACGTATAAAGTCAGAGGCTTCAACACAGGAAGGATAAACTGGTTTTGACACACAATTCAGCGCGGTGTCAGAGCATACGGTGACACTGCAGCATTGGATTGTAGAACAAAACTAGAGTAAGAATGTGAGCTATGTTTGAGCAACAGAGATGCTTGAGGTGGAAAACCGTGTAGATGCACAGGAGAGAAAGGTTGTTTTCTGACTAAGTACCTCTTCCAATCAAGGTCTTGCATAGCTTTTTGTCAGAAATGGCCGCTGTGATGTCTCGACTGGGGCAGGAGAGGTCTCCGAGTTTCTCCAAATCTCGGCGCATGCAGAAGGCACCTCCGGTGAGAAGTCCGAAATCGGTATTGTTGCCGGAGTCACCGGACAGTTCTACAGAGTCAAGCTCGCTTACTAGTTCGATCCAAGGGGAGCAACTCGTGGAATGCACTGGCTTTAGAAGCCCCAAGAAGAAGGATAAAAGCAAGGCTACATCCGAAGCAAGGCTTGAGCAAGTCGATGATTACACTTGGTGAGCCATCTTCCAGAATGGCCTTTATTTTTTCTGTTCTCTATTTGTCTTTTCCCTTCCAGCAGCATACTACTTAACCCAGCAGAGTTGAGCGTGCTTACGAAGTGTACCAGATTACCACTTAAATTCATCAAATTCAGTCGTCGCAGAGTATGCAAGCACTTCGCAGTGTGGAACTTCGAAGTTCGAACTAACGCCGATCACGTTTTTGTTAGTTTCAGGTTTGTGTCTATTGATCAGCTGAGTGACTTGCTTGTGGAGGTCGAAGAGGTTTCCTTTCATCTTCACAAGGTGCTTTCGCAGTTTTACATATTAGTGATTGTTGCGTTACTACTTTCTCTGCCATCTGTTGTTGTAAGCTCCTCGTCCAAGCGCCATGTGTTCATATTCGTCCCGTGTATTTGCAGCTCCTGTTCCTGTCAAGGAGCGGTCTTCTGTTCAGGCTTGCCTCACAGTCCTGCGACTCACAAAAAGCTTATATCAACTTGGTTGATGTGCCTGGAGGAGCTGAAGCTTTCATGCAGGTGGTCAAGTTCTGTTACGGCATTGTGGAGGAACTCACGCCCACCAATGTTGCCACTATACTTTGCGTTGGGGAGTATCTTGAGATGGCGGAAGCCTTTGAGGAAGGAAATGTTGTGAGCAAAGCAGAAGATTATCTCAACATCGTGATTCTGAATTCTTGGCAGGAGTCCATCATTGTTCTTCAGTCTTGCGAGCTTCTCCTTCCCTGGGCTGCGGACATGAATCTTGTGAGGAGGTGCGCCGAGTCAGTTGCGGAGAAGGCATGTACCGATCCAAGAGGGGTTCGTTGGCATTACTCTGGCATGGAGATGAGTTCCACAATTAGCACAGTGTCCACAGTTACACTGGAGAGGTCGGTAGCTAAGGTTGCACCCCAAGATTGGTGGTACGAGGACCTCTCACATCTGACGATTTATTGTTTCAGTGAAGTAGTAGAGGCTATCAAGCAGAAGGGCATGGATCCGGACCTTTTGGGAGGTGCTTTGGAGTACTATGCCCAGCGCTGGCTTCCAGGGTTAGTAAAAGCAGAGCAACAAACTCTCTTGTTCAAAGGCACGAGCACTTATAGTGATAGTGTTGCATCTACAAGAAGAAACTCACCGGCCTCTTCGCCCAGGAGAGGTGGAAGCTACTACAACTGCTCAACCAAAAGCATTGGAGATGACGGTCAGACGAAATTGCATGAATCCATAGCTGAGCAGAACGGGAACCGCTTCATTCTTGAGGAGATAGTGAGCATGCTGCCGATGAAGAAAGATGCAGTTTCTTGCAGTTTCTTGCTTCGCATGACACGTGCGGCTTACATACTGAACTGCGACATTGAATGCAAGGCAGATTTGGAACGAAGAGCTGGTCTTCAACTGGATCAAGGGAGTTTGAGCGATCTGCTTGTTCCTTGCTTCTCGCATACTAGTGAGTATTTGTACGATATCGACATTGTGCGACGCATCTTGGACCATTTTCTCGCAAATGTAAGTCTCGTGCTAGTTTTTTCTGTTTTAAATGAAAGTGTGTAGCAATTTTCATTTTAGAGCATAAAGTCCTTCGTTGTGAACTAACTTGTGCTTTTGATAAATCTGCAGGAGCTGAATGATAAATCTATCTCTGGGAGCCCGAAGTCCTGTTCGGGTGAAAACAAATCAACACGGAATATTCGTGATGGGCTTCCTGCGAAAAAGCCACAACCAGCTCTGAATTCGAGGATAAAAGTAGCGAAGCTGATTGACTCTTATCTTGCAGAAGTAGCAAGGGACAGTAAACTCCCCTTAGCGAAATTCCAATTACTCGCTGAAGCCCTTCCCGAGGGTTCAAGATTGAGTGACGACGGACTGTACAGAGCAGTAGACACATACCTCAAGGTACTCATTCGTGATATCTAATCACTCTCCGAAGAGAAATCAATCTATGTTTCCCCTCAACTTTCTCAGTGAAATTCTCGTGCCCTTCGTCTGGTACTCATTCATCATACGATGATTTCTAACCATGACATATTTGTGGGTCATTCTGATGTTCCGTTGTGAGACTTGCAGATACATCCTACCATGACAGAACACGAGAGGAAGAGGCTATGTCGCATCCTCAATTGCCATCGCCTTTCACTTGACGCATGCACGCATGCCTCCCAGAACGAGCGCCTGCCACTCCGTTTCGTTGTCCAGGTACTCTTCTGCGAGCAACTCAAGATCCGAAGCACTGTCACGGAAGTCAGCAACTCAGTGAAGGAGGATCGTGCAAATGCTGATAATGTCAGTGTCGCATCACGAGAACCCACAGGCGCCGACTCGCAGCCAACTGCCAGCACCAGCGCCGAACTCCAAGAAAACGTCAATCAAATGGAAATCAGAGCTTTACAACGTGAACTCGCAACCATGAGAGTGAAGTGCATTGACCTGGAGAGGGACCACAGCACCATTCAAGATCGAGTACTATTTTCAACCCTTTTATGTTTTCTATTGTCCTCAAATTGCGACGTTATCATCCATATAAAAACCTTCGAACTTGAATGTGATTGCGTGCTCACTCGCGGCCATGACCACTGCAGGTTGAGCAAATATCAAGAATGTCCAGAGGACGCTCCTCCCCATGGACTTCTGGAGCGTGGAAGAAAATCAGCAAACTACAATTATTTAACCTCAAAGACCATAAAGACGGAGGTGATTCCATTCGAACTGACGAGTCGCGGTCTAGCAATCCCCGGAGGTGGAGAAACTCCATATCCTAGTTGCCAGAAGCCCTAGAAACCTCCATGGTCAGTCTGTTCCCTCTTTAGTTTTTTTTAGCTTCATTTTCTTGTTCTTTTCTTTTTTCTTTTTTCTTTTTCTTTCTCTCTAGCTGTCCCCTACAAAAGCCGATCTCATAGGTTTGTTCATATTGCCACACTCGTGCGTCTAGAGACCGGATCCAAGAGTCGAAACCAGACGAAGGAAAATCAATCACGGGACGAAACCGATGCCAAAGAAAGCGCATAGGTTCGACATGAAACCTGATATTTGATGCCAATGCACTGAGGGTTGAACTATTCGTCGATCCAGATCTACCCAACTTTAAGTTATAGCACACACTAGCAAGCGTTTCTCCGTGCACATCCTCACGGCGAAACGCTTGAATTGTATATACTATCCTTGAGACCCGTAAATCCCCTTCCTGGAGCGTTTGCTTCTATCTACTCTGTCACGCTGACCAAGGCAATGAATTGGTGTGTCCTCTCGTCTTCTATTTCGAAACCATGCCTGGAGCAAGGCGAAGATATCATCCCGTGTGGAATACTTTCTCAATGTGGGGAATTATGTCGAACCTTATTTTCAATGGATAATTGAATTTCACATGGTGAATTAAAATGTGGTTTTTTGGACTGTGATCTCAACTCTCGATTTGAAACGTTGAGAGTTTAATTTATTTTTTTTTTTTTTACCAATGGAAAAGAACAAACTCTGCACCTTATTTTCCTAATGAACTCCTCTTGAATCGTGATTTAAAGCCACCCTTTGAACAATTGACACAGTTTTCTATCATGCCGATGGATCTCGATAGGAGGTGAGGAATTGATGTCTCGCCCCTGGAAGGCTTTGAAACATGGGTAAGAACTGTGGCTTCACTTCAATAGGTTGGTGGAGGTTCTTAACATCTATGCCTCGTTATCACAAGAACTCTTCACAAAAGGCTGTATGTATTGAAAGATTCTATTCTCTCCATTTACTCTTTTGTAAAATCTCCTATACCAAAAATCTCATACAGAACCTCAATACTGATTTGAGACCCAGTTGGGAAATGGTGATGCTATTTACACTTTCTGCATGAACCCTAAGCTAACCGCAACACAAATGGTCTACCTTAAATATCAAAAGCAGATGCGTTGCTAAACAAGACATAATACAAAGAAGGTCACCAAATTGAAAATATGGTGAATTTTCCACAAATATGGCACACAGCCAGAAGCGTGGCAAACTTTGCAACACCTTAAAGGCTAAATCCATATAGTTCCTCTGATGAAAACAATCTGTTGTGCAGGTCCTAACATGTAAATCAGGACGCAGTGTTTGTGGCAGCCATTTTAACTCCGAAGTGCGTCCACTTATCCAAGCGACCTAAGTCACTTGGTTAATCCTCTCAAAGCATAATAAATCGGAACGTCAAGTACGGTCCAACAGTCGAGTACTAGCATGAGTTATGAGAAACCCACACCTGCACGGATGATCTAAATCCTCAGAACTCACCATTGTATTCTATACTCATTCGCTACAGCAATGCATAACGCACTGGCATCAAAATGAACATTACTACTGGAAACAGCTGGTACTCCACAACGAGGCATATCGCATTGCAAAAGCTACAGAATGATAAAATCGGAGGTGCCAAGAAAGAGTACCTAAACACAGCTAGAGGACACTCCAGTAGCAAACTTGCTTCTCCACTCAGCAGATTAGTTGCCACGGAAGATAGCCAGCCTCAGGTGTAATTGAATTCGACATTCACATTAGAGAATCTCCGCATGAGATTCACTATGGAGGTGGTGAATTTCCCAATCATGTGAAAATCATCTGCCTTAGAATCAGAGAGAATGCCGTGGATCACCAGTTTTCTCAGACTAGGAGATCTCTGCAAAACTCCCCCAATCCACTGAACAAAGAGGTCATTGATGACTGAGGACCCTAGTTCCAAGAAGAAGACCTTCTCAAGAAGAGATGAGCCCCGTAAGACCTGAGAGAGCATCCCATCATCTAATTCATAATTCAGAGCAAGACGATTCAGGCGAGGAAAGGACACAGCTATTGTCTCAATGTCCACATCCTCACGCCCAATGTCCTCCTCAACAAACCTTAGTCGCCAGAGCCGGAGCTTGCTGAGCTTCGACGCGCGTGAGATGATAGGGAAGAACCGGGACCAAGACATCTCGAAGTCGCTCACATCTAGATCCTCGAGCAACTCCGAGGCTTCCCCAATATCCATATCCATCATGTTTGTACCCTCAATTTTCAGCACTCGCAAACTGTTCTTGCTCTTTAGAACGAAAGTATCCATTTGTGTGCTTTTCAGGTGTAGAGTCTCTAAATGGTCAGCCTCCAAAATGACATTGTCCAATGTCAGATCTTCTGTGTAGAATGTATGTAAACTGGAGCTCGTGAGTCGCAGGGTGTTTGCAGAGTTTGATACGTTGATATCTGTTTCAATGAGAGAGAAAACCTCCAGCTTTGGACACGCCGAGAGTAACGCATTAAGATCCGCCGACGAGACAATGACACGCGAAAGTGTAAGATGTAAAAGAGATGGGAATCTCTGAACAGCTGGATCAACTGTAGGTATCAATGTATGCCCCAAAACCAGACGCTCCAGCTTAGTTTTCCCACACCGTTCAAGGACATTTACACAGGGCTTTGTCTTCATCATATACGTCAAGAATCGAAGGGACTCGCGGGTGAACATGAGCCATGCAATTACTGGAGCTGCTGAGAACTCGTTGTTGTTGCCTAACATGATTGAAAGGTGTTGTAGACAAGACGTCTGCATGATTGTCTGTGTGATGAGAACTTCGAGATCTTCAGTCGCAAGGTCCCGATAGACAGGCCAGTCAGCTGTATTGAAACAAAGCGTGTTGAGATGGTGACGGGCTGCTACTCTCCATTTGCGACATGTTGTAGAGGCCACCACCACATCACGCGCAGCACCAAGTTTCGACAAGATGTTGCCTATAACTTCCACCGGAAGAGATTCCATCTTGTTACTCACAGAAGTTTCTTCCGTTTGGATTTTCTGCTCTTGTTTCTGTTTTTTTCGCAATGCTGGGCAGTAATCTTGTAGAAGCCGATGTTACAAACCGAAATTCAACTCAGTCATGATTGCAATCACCACCAGCCTCGATGGCCTAACATCTGCCTGGTCAATCCTTAAAATCAGCTCTTTCCTCCTTCATCACGTCTCTGCATGCCCCGGCTTAGGAGCATAATCACCCTCGTGGTACAATTATGACAGACACCAGCACAGCTTCCCCCTCAAAAAAGTCTTCAATTGAAATTCGAAGACTTACACGATCAAGCCACCTGTACAAAACACCCAATGCTATCACAAATTCAGCGACAATTCCCAAAATAATGCTAAGAAAGATTCGTTAGAGCATCTCAGTTGGACTTTCTATAAATCAAAGCTGCACAAAACACAATGGTAAATCACAAAAAAAAACCCCAGAAACTGACTAAGAAGGCGAAATATACCGCAACACATTTTTCCAGCCCTGAGTTACGCTAGTTCAAAAAAGGTGAAGAGTCGGTCTAGTTGAAACTACGGTTATTCATGCGTATGAGCGAACTCAGCTTCACTTACTGTCAAGCACATGAAGAACTTTGAAATGGAGAAGTGATATAAGCAACTGGCTAAAATAAACGAAGGAAAGAAGGACAAAACATTAGAAAGATCTCATTATTAGTCACACATGTCAATTCCAACCGTCCATTATAATCGTTGAGCTTAAAATCAAACATGAAGAAGTCGCCTAAACCTTGTGCAAAAAAAGCCCGCTGGTGCAAAAGCTCAGGGCAACACCCAATTTTCTCCAGAAAGATAGCACTCAAACTGGAATTACATGTTAAAATAGCTTCTCAAATTGAAACACAGCTTTCAACGAGCCCAAGCAGCTTCTAGGGTTAAGCTCATCCACAGATAGAGCTTTCTGAAGACCTTGATGATAAAGTCTCGTTTTCTGCTGGAGCAACGAACATCGCATCTTTCCTCTGCGAGAACTACTTTCGAATCATATCCTCCGGCATAAAAAAAAAAAATCATACATGAAAAATATTAAATTGGGATAGAAGAACCCACAGTTGATCAAGATCGATCCTCAGCCCACTTCACAAGACCATACCTCCTCTCCTCTGCTGTACTACCACCGGGACTAGTTACCATAAATCTACTAACCCCGTTACATGTCACCACTCAAATTAGGTTGCGTATAGAAATGAATTTGCAACATGGAAAATAGTTGGAAAACAAGGGGTACCCACCTTCGTATCAAACTGAAGAACACGCCTACGTAAGAGATTTGGCGACCAATTTAGGCTAAAAGACACAAACCACAGACATAACTCGGCTCAATCCAGCTATCCTGAGGAATGCGGAGTCTGCAGAAATGGAAGTAAGGCTACGATAGCAATACTTTTCTAAGTGTACACTTAACTCCAAGAGAAGCCTTAAACCGAACTCGCAGAATGTACAGCATGTCTGTACTGACATAAAATAGCCAAGACGTCCTTGTCGGTAACAAACCTGTCTGTGCGAATGGAACCCAACCCAGAATGAGGCCTAGAAATTCTCACTCTCGTTGCACATCATCTGCACGAATCAACGAAACATCCTAAAAGCACTGATGCGAGTTATCCGACACAAGCACTAAGCCCTGAATCGGCAGACAGAAATTCGACAAACAGTGGGATGCCGCCAAGTCGAAGGCCCCTCTCACAGACAGTTCCGATCACCAAAAATATTACCGTCCCGGGTGCGTGCTTGCTTTTCGCTGTGGCTCTCATATCCTCATATCACAGGTCGACGCAGTCTCTCTCTCTCTGACTCGCAGCGCGGTGTCTGACCCTCAAGGGGAACCAGAACAACAGGAAAACGCTGATATAAAGATACATGGGTACTGCCACTAAAAGCGTGACACAAATCCCAACAACTTGCAGCAGGTGTAGGAGGAGCAAAATCGGAAATAGTGGGTCTAAAAGTAAGTAAATCCGGCGAACTTACTTACCCATCACTCAGGAAAATGGACTCACTCGCTCGCTTCCTGCTTCACTCGTCACAGTGCAACGCTGTGAGCAAGAAACAAACACAGTTCCAGTGAGAGAAGGGAAGGGACCACTAGCCTTGCAATGCCTTGGCTACTCTCATGCGCTCTTAGGTTCCCTCTGGGCTGCGGAGCGGGATTCGGTCCCCGAGGGTTAGTTGATCTGTGCCCGCTGTGACACCGTGGACAGAACGCTCGGATGAACGTAGAGCCTTGTTTTCGGATGATCGCACACTTTCGTTCTTGGATGAACGTGGGTTCTCCTGTTCGGATGAATGTAGACCTCGCACTTTTCCATGTTTGGATGACTCACTATAAAAAGGATAGTTATTTCGTGTACTTTATTTAGAACTAAATATATTATAAGATCTTATTAATGTTGGACCCAATTGTGTTGTTGGAAATTATAACATGTGTTTGGTTAGTAGATGTCAAATCAAAAAAATTAATAGAGGACGGTTTTATTTTTAAAAATAAAGATATTACTTTAGTACATTACATGAATTGTCAATACGATCTGTTTTTGGTTTAACAAAATACGTGAATGTTATCTTTGATTATGAGTTTCCATATTGTATTGAAACACTAAAATAAACCCACTAATATAAAATGTTAATATAAAACAAAATCCACAAAATATTGTCTTTTAGTGTGTATATGTAGTTGACGTGCAAGTAAATAATAGTAAAGTGTGGGTTGCAAAATGGAATTAACAATATTTACAGTTTATGGTAATTGAACATTACACTGGCTAATTTTTATATTTATTTATTAATTTTTTATTACATGATGTTTTGAAGCATATAAGTAGTAAAAAGTAAATTTTTAACATTGATTTGATTGTTTTAACAAAGATGTTAAAAATTGGATTTGAAACTTTACTCTTCTTTTAAAATAAAACTTTCCAAGAAAATATCATGTATGAATATGTATGTATATGTCTGTATATATATATATATATATATATATCCATACACACACACAGAGGGAGAGAGAGTCTAAAAAAAATACAAACCCCATCTTTATAGTTTAGTTTTTCTTGCACATGTAAAACAGAAAGTAGTATCAAAACCTCTCTTGTTCCTCCTTACATTCTTAAAAACAGAGAATAATCACAAGTCCGTTTCTTCCTCCCTAAAATTTAAAAGAAATAGAAGAAGAAAGAAACCCAAATCACAACAAAAGTACCAAATTAAAATCCCTAATTAAACCAGATTTGAAATAAAAGCAAGCGAGACCACAAAGCAGTTAAGGCACCGCAATAGGGCAGCACAAATCGGGCAGGGAAATTTTGGGCATGAACGGAAATTGAATAAACGAATTTGGATGAAATCACTTTCTTTCATCCTTATTGACGAGTTTACTACTTCCCCCCGTCAAACTGAGAAGCCCCACCTTTGGAAGTGACAGCCGACCGCGACTTCGTTCGTTCGTCGAAAAATCGTTTACTGGACAATCGTCCGTCAATACGAGAGCGAGAAATGTTTTCGTCAACGAACCCCTAGCTCTAATACCTAGATCGTCGTCCCACGCAAGGGCTACCGGAGCGACAGACAGGGTTTAGGAATTCAAGCCGAACTGTAGCTGGATCAGCAGCGAACAAGTGATTCAAGTCGATCTGACTTGTGGGTTTTGGGCTGTACCTCAGAATTCGTAGAAAGATCGCGAGAACAGAAGGTTTTCGCGATTTTTAGAGGTGATCGAGGGCGTTGTGCGAGTGCGTTCAGAGAGGGGGCAATGTTGTATGTTGTGGGCTTGGGGCTTGGTGATGAGAAGGACATCACGTTGAGGGGGTTGGAGGCTGTTCGGAAATGTGACAAAGTGTATTTGGAGGCGTACACCTCCTTGCTGGCGCTCGGGCTTGGCCCTGATGCCACCACGACGCTGGTAGGGTCTCAGTTGATGAGCGTTTTTGGGTGGTGATGCGAGTGGTGCTGGTCGCTAACGTAATTCTGAGAGGAAGCTCCTTCTCATAATCGATTGTTCAAATTGATTATACGAAGCGTATGTAAAGGTCTTGTCATGGTTGAATTGGCCTTCGATGGGTTGACTGTGGTAAAGTTTTTGTGGTGCAGGAGAAGATTTATGGGCGACCAGTTGTAGTTGCTGATCGTGAGTTGGTCGAACAGGGCGCTGAAGGAATTTTAGAGGAAGCTCGCACCCTGAATGTGGCATTTCTAGTCGTTGGTGACCCGTTTGGGTAACTGCTCTGCTTTGCTATTTGGCGTTGAATAGTTGCAGTAAGTTATAGTATCTACGAGAGAAATGCCTTTGCAGTGAGCTTACTTTCGTAGCTTACGCGGATGGTTTGTGGTCTAATGACTAACTTCGCATTAATGTGTTGTTTCTTCAGAGCCACAACTCACTCGGACTTGCTTGTCAGAGCTAAGACCTTGGGCATTGATGTCGAGGTAGTGCACAATGCGTCGATTATGAACGCAGTTGGAGCTTGCGGATTGCAACTCTACCGGTTTGGGGAGGCCATCTCGATTCCTTTCTTCACTGATACATGGCGACCCGATAGCTTCTATGATAAAATCGAAGCAAATCGGAAAATCGGGTTGCACACATTATGTCTCTTAGGTATGTTTCCACACACTTCACCGTAAGAGCTGTAAACATGAGCTGTTTTGTTTGCTTAAGTTTATGTCATTCAAAGTTGTCTTTATTTCCGTATTCAAAATGGAGACTCTCTCTCTCTCTCTCTCTCTCTCTCTCTATATATATATATATATATATATATATATATATATACATATTTAATATTCAAATTTACAACTACTTTGTCATCTTCTACATTACAGACATCCGAGTGAAGGAGCAATCAGTTGAAGCTTTGTGTAGGTGAGGACTTGAGCAGTTGAGATGACTTTCATGTTCGTTCAATTTTTTCTCTTTCTTTGTAACATAATTATCGTCCCTCGGTTGATTTTGATTTCCGTAACGTAGTTATTTCTCTTTTTCTTTTGAATGGCAGTGTGTCTGTCAGACATTCGACAACAGTTTTATGGACCTTGTACATTGTTGAAAGTAATTTCGCTGCTTATCTAGGCTAGAGTGTAAGTCTTTGGCACAGTGCATGATCAATGAAAATTGCCATGGACATCATTTTCTGAGTAAAACTAAATATTCAACTTCGCAAGCTGAATATGACGTATGTTGAACAGGGGTAGGAAAGAGTATGAGCCTCCTAGATACATGAGCATCAACACCGCCATTGAGCAATTGCTTGAAGTAGAGGAGACGCGTGCGGGCAAAGGTCCGTTTCAGTTTCTTTCTTTGCAATTCTACACATAACCAACCCATTGCATTGGAAGTACTCTTTCATCTTAATAGCATCTTCCTACTTAACGTCCTAGAAGCCTTGGAATAGTTGCACATGCAAACATACATTGTCCCACAGCATTCCCCATGTTCTTGTCCTTAAGCCGATAAACAGCAGCAAGCAATTAAGCATCCATCTGCTTCATAGGTTTTCGACTTTAAACAGCATTATTCTTAGTAATTTAATAACTTGGAATTATTAATCTTGGTGGTTTTGCAGTGTATAGTGAAGAAACTCTGTGCGTTGGATTGGCTCGGTTGGGTACTAGCACACAAAAGATAGTCGCCGGCTCAATGAAGGAGCTTCTTGATGTGGACTTTGGGCCCCCATTGCATAGTGTAGTTATTGCAGGTACAACACATGTGATGGAAGAAGAATTCCTGTCCTTCTACAAACCATCATAGATGCTATTAGTTTCAACTACTGTTCTTTTATCACGTACTAAAAATATCACTTTGCATTCTATAGAAATGGGAACGTCCAATTGAATGCTGTTGACCCTTATCTAGGGTTATTATTCTTGGCAATATATAACTTCAGGCTTGATTCTGATATGAGAGCCTAGCATTGTCATTGCCTGTGACATGTCTTCCCCAGGTTCTCTTGATCTACGTACAGTTCATTCAGTGGAAAGAGCCTACCTCTGAGTCTTCATTTGGTTTTAACTTTTGTGGTGTTTGACGCCTCACGCAGACTTTCAGACAACTGTTTTATCTTATGCCTGGAAACGATTCTGATGCAGAGTTGTAAAATACTGCCTACAATGATACGTCAAGCATTCAGGAAACCTGAAGTCATTTAGTCACATAATGACCAGGTTGATATAGAATATTGGAACTACATAGCTCAGTCTTTTTTATGCACGGAAATAGCACCAAGTTATTATGGTACGCAATGCCGCAAGTAAAAACGAACACACATCCACACTCTTTATTATAGTCCGAAATGGATGCTGCTTAAAATGTACATGTTATGACCGTTTATGGAACTCTATAAAATTACAAGGGAGGTTGTGTTTTTCGTGTAAGAAATATCAACACTGAGCATGTGATCGTTTATCAGAGGTGATCAAAAGGTATATTACAGGGACCCTTTTCGCAACAAGCCGGACTTTGGGGGATGCCACCGACCGGTGTGTCCCTTATTTGAGCTTCCGTTCTCCAGTTTCATAAAGCTTCGAGCAGGCTTAGAAAAGAAGAGTATTAACCCGATCGAGAAGAACCCAACAAAGAAACCCACTATAAACCCAGGGGTGGTGAAAAGATCATTGAAGGAATTTCCTGATGATGGTGATGTCGAGCTGCAGGGATCAAGAGGAAGGCCACAGAGCCCGGGATTGCCAGGACGATAGGCAGAGGTATTTTGGGACTGTAACGGGGATGCTTGGGGAATAGGACCAGATAGGTCGTTGTTGGCAAGATACAGAGATTGTAGCTTGGCATTTTTGCCCAAGGATTCCGGGATACTACCAGTCAGAAGATTGCTAGAGAGATTCAGGGACGTCAAAGGAATTGCACCAATATTGTCAGGAATGCTACCTGTGAAGAAGTTTGAGGAGAGATCGAGATACGTCAACTTCACAAGCTTGGTAATATCCACAGGTATGACGCCCCCCAGTCTGTTGTGCGATAATTGTATGGAAGTGACATATTTGAGAGAAGTACTGTACGTTACCTGTCTATCCTGGACAGTAATCGTAACACTCTGAATGTAAGTCTGAGAGTTGTCTGTAGGAGTATCGGTTGTAGTCGGTGCGTCAATAAATCCACGAGGGTTGCTGAAGTTGCCTCGTAAGTCATCCGTGAGATTATTATAATTGAGTTCCAGCACTTGCAGCTTAGGGAGATCCCAAAGCCATGACGGGATTGAACCCTGTAGCTGGTTGTTTCCTAACAGCATCACCTGCAGAGACGACAATTTGGACACATCAAATGTGGCCGGAAATTTCCCAATTAGGTTGTTCCGAGTGAAATCCAATGTCGTGAGTTGGTTGCTGCCTTTCGTTGAGTTAAGGGTGGCAAGTGATGCGAACACATCTCCTGTAATCGAGTTGTTGCGCACGGACACCGACTTCAGATTGGTCATGTTGCTCATATCCCATGCAAAGTCTCCTTCGAGCTGATTATTATCAAGTTTAGCTGTTTGCAAAGAAAAGCAATCCGAGAGATTACTTGGCAATCCTCCAGTTAACCGATTGTTAGAGAGATCAAGTCTCTGAAGATTCTTACAGTTGCCGAGACTGCTCGGAATTGACCCTTGAAGCTTATTCTGCGACAAAACCAATAGTGTCAAGTTCCTCAAGTTTCCAAGCTGTGCCGGGATTGTCCCGTTAAGAGTGTTGTTATTGAGGACAAGATTTTTGAGATTGGAGCAGTTCCCAAGCGTTGTAGGTATCTCCCCGTAAACCTTCGTGTCGAATACCACCAAATTCTCCAATTTCTTCAACCTTCCGAACTCTGGAGGTATAATCCCGGTGAGCTTGGGATTAGAATTTAAATGCAATTGTACCAGCTTTGAGCAGTTCGACAGCGAAGCAGGAATCGTCCCATTAAGATCATTGCCATGGAAGTACGCATACTCTATGTTGGACCAATTGCTGAACACTCCAGGTATTTCACCCGTGAAATGGTTGTTGTCCACCTGAAAGTTTTGCATTCTAGGACAAATGCTAAATTCTGGCGGGATGGTGCCGGAGAGATTGTTGTTGCTAACGCCGATATTCTCCAACTTGGGGCACTTCGATAGGGTACCCGGAAGTGGTCCGGAGAAGTTGTTTCTCGATACAAAGACATGCGTCAGGTTCTCGCATGTATCCCCAAAGAAAGTAGGAAGTCGCCCAGTGAGGTTGTTATTCTCGCCATGAATTTGCCACATTCCGCTGCAATTCTGCAGAAAATCCATGGTTCCGTTCATCTTGTTATACTGGAAGTAGACAATACTCAACTTCTGCAACTTCCCAAACCCCTCAGGAAGCGTTCCGGTGATGTTGTTAAACCCCACCAGAAATCCTTGCAAATTGGGAGCATTTGCAAAGCCTCTCGGAATCTCTCCTACCAAATGATTGTCATTCACCGCAAAGCTCTCCAGAGTGGTACAATTTCCAAAACTCTCAGGGATACTTCCGGTTAACTCGTTGTTCATGGCCAAAAACATTTTCAACTTTGGAAAAGTACCGAAGTCGCTGTGAATTTCTCCGTCGAAATGATTTGAAGACACATCCAATTGGAGCATATTCTTACATTGTGCTAACTCTTTTGGCAATCCACCCGTCATATTATTGGAGCCAATATCCAGAGTCTGGAGGAGCGTAAGGTTCGAAAGCTGAACCGGGATGTATGACGTCAGATTGTTGCCATGTAAATTCAGGGTCTTCAAATTTTTCAAATTCCCCAACTCTGGGGGAATAGGTCCCGTTAATAGGTTACTTTGCAGGATTAGGACTGTCAGCGAAGACAGCAGTGAGATGTTCGGGGAAATCAAACCTCCCAGCTTAGCACCTTCGACACCTGCTTCACATCAAGGTTGGAATCTCCATCCTCAGAAAACGCACTCGCAAGAACAACAATCTGGCCATTGGAATGATGCAATGTATCCATGAATGCTGGACGATTGTATAGCGTTAACAGTTTTGCAAGCATTGGTTGAACAGGAGATTGAATGGACATGTAGTAGAGATGACCTGTGATATTTAATTGCACTACTCGACGAATGGTGTTATTACTCGTGATGTTGCTGCAAAGAATGCCTACCCATTCGCAGTGGTCTTGATTCGAAGTTCCATTCCATCCTGCCAGAATACCATTAGGATCGAGTACTCCTCTCTTAAACTGCAAGAGCGCATCCTGTTCGCTAGCGAGAATGTTGGCAGCTTGAAGTAACTGTCGCCCCCCAGGGTGCTCGTGCAGGGCGTCTTCTTCAAAATCGTCATGGATCAAGCCTTCAAAGAGCGATGGGTCGAATTCATTGGGTATTGAGACGAGTCTCTTGAATCTCTCAGATTCTTCTTGGCGAACCTGCTTCAACAACCACAAGCAGTTGACTGGGTGCGTCGAATAACTTGTAGGAGAAATTTGCAACCAATTCACTACGGAGGTCCAAGAACAAGCATGCTAATGTTGTAGATGCAACTCGATCTCCCTCTCTTAAGTGTGTCATACTGTTTGATCCAGACGTACCTTGGTAAAATCTGTGGACTCTTCCGACTCATCGTCCCAGTCCTCGTCCCTAAAGCTCTCAGCCGTCAAATATGACGCCGTAAGCAAGAAGCAAACTGCCAGCAGGAGAAGGATTGTCTTCATCATGTTCACCACCTAATTCTGCAAAGAATAGTCAATGCAGCTCTACATCAGCATCTGCATTCGTTGATTTTGAAAGATAAAGATGCGTAGTCAATTCAATTATGGACCAGAGAAGATCATGCCTGATTCCTGAAAACCTCCGAGGTTTTAATTTGTGCTTCGGGCGACATCAGCGTCCGAAAACGCTTGAAAGCCTGGAATCTACTTCCGGAGCTCCTGGTAGTTCAATTGCGAGTGACATCCCAAGTTGGCGTTCACCCTTGCACACTGCTCTTAACGAAGAACTGCATATCCCGCGAGTCTCCGCGCTTAAACCTCCGCTAGGCTCTCCGAAACCCCGGTTATTATCTAAAGCCCAAGCTCCCGTGAGCACTTACAAACCAGTTGTGTCCTACAAACTTGCAAGTTGAATTCTGACCCCACTAATCGTTCAGTGGCAGGTACTGTATACCATCTCCAGATTGTGTGCACCCTCTATTATTCCCATCACAAACCAACTTACAGTCGCAGGACTACTCCTTCGGGTGTGCCAGACAAAAGAGCCGGCATCATGCACCACAGTTTCCCATAAATAGATGCCAAGCAGTATCAAGTGGCGTGAAAGACACTCGAACAAAACAGAATCGGCAAATCATTCATCAAATAAATTGAACCCTTCGGCAACAGAGTTTTGTATTTCCAGACAGGATTTATTTATAGCGACGAGAATCATCAACATCTTGTGGCACAGTGGGCAACTCATCCCAGACACTGCGAAAAACCCTATATGGACTGAGATCCCCTTTAAAAAATCTTATCGTCTTCGGGTTTCAAGGAAGACGGAGTTTGAGCTGCCCGCGTCGGCCTGCGTGGCAGAATTGAACAGTGCCAAAGCCTTGAACGCGTAGAAGGAAAAAGCGTCATCACATTCCCTACAGCGAAACCCTCTCAACAGTGTTGGCCCCCGGATGCTGCAAACCTATTATGTCGGCCAAGAGATAGACGACAGGCGTTTTGTTAGCCACACATTCCACATGATCGAAGAAAAAAAGACGAGTCGTTACCAGTCAACACAGGAGACGGACTAGGTCCTACCAAGCTCAATTCTCAAGTGGCGCAAACAAAAACACAAAAGGAAATTGCAAGTGGGGTGCCGCGGCTTCAGCGCCGCACATTAAAGTATCTGATACAAAATCCCAAAGGCAGTTTCGGGCGTAGAAACATCAACTCGCAAGAAAGAATCGGTTGTGGGTCGTCGGATTGGGATCGCTTTTGATGCAACGAAAGGGACCCATCAAATGGTGGACTTACGATTCCTCCAACGAAGTTGAATTCAGGGAATTCGTGTCGTCCTTCGGCTGCTTGCATGAGACCCTCCAACTCCGACATGGCCGAAGCTAACCCTAAACAAATATCCTTCCGTTCATTTCGGTAATAATACGATCGATGGCTCGTGCGTTTATCATCCGTCATTCATCCACATGCGAGGATGATGTTTTCCTTATCATATTTTATATATTTGTTTATTTTTAGATATATTTGTATCTTTCATTTCGAACGGATAGACATAAAAACGTAAAGTCAACATTTATATTTTTAACGTACAGTTGACGGGTTACCTTGTTTGTTTTGTTTTGTTTTGTTTTTTTTTTCCCGTTGTTGTTGTTGTTTTAAAAAATGATACAATCATGAAAGGAACATGTGTTTATTTTGTTATAACTCTCAAATGTGAATGAGTGTGTCTGTGTATCTGTACATGTGTACAATTGCTTGATGCTTAAAATCCCAAAAAAACCAACTTGACTTTGTGCATGCAATTATACAATAGACAAAGAAACAAAAATTAATAAATCTATACACACATACACACACACATACATACATATATATATATATATATATATTTATACATACTATAACAAAATTTACACTAATAATTTAAATTACTATCAATAGTTATATTTTATAAATATAGTATTTTTTATTATATTTTGATTATAAGTAAAATATAAATAAATACATATTTTAAGGAGTAAATCTACTTATAATCGAATTATGTTTACACTAAAAGCAATTTCAATATAAATATAAGTTTTTTTTTTTAATGTATTTTTGACAATTAAATTTAGTTTGATAGAAAATTTGATGCATAAGTCTTGTTAATTTTTAAGTAAAATAAAATAAAATAGTGTGATAGATTTTAAATCAAAACATGTATATAAACATATAATGATATTAATAATAAAGACTTTATAAAATAATTTGTTTACTTCATAAAAAGTGAACATCATAAAATTAAGTAATCTATATACAATCTAAATAATACTATATGAATAAATGATTAACAAAATAAAACATCAAGATATTGTATTGTCATTTCTAAGTTTTAAAACTATAATTAATTAAGATTAACAAAGTTTCATTTGATGTAACTAAGTACCTCATAAATTCTAACAAATAGTACAAAGATTTAAAATAAAAACTTATTTAAATCCAAACTTTGAACCATAACTTAAGTTACATATATTATATTGCTAATATTAGTAAATATGGATATATGTTAGATAATCTTCTGATTATATTAAAAAATATAAGCTTAATTTTAAAAACCTAGACAAAATGTGATATTTTATAACTAATATTATACAAAATATTTTAAATAAGTTTTTTTGATTTTTTATAATTTAATCAAGGTAAGATTTTTTTATACTTTTTTCTTCATTAAATAAAATATAATATATGTAAAAAATAAAATAAATATATCTACTAAAACATTGAAGTTTAATTAAAGAATTGATTTTTTTTTTGTTTTTTATATTTATTCTCAATATATATATATATTTTTTAATTTAAACAAAAAATTAGAATGAAAATTTATAGAAGGATTTATTTTGTTACAGAACTAGCATCATAATGTGCAATATGAATACTATATTGTTTATATTGTTTGGACTAATCTATGAATATTTGGCAATTTTAGCTTTAATTGGTAGATTTTTTTTATGCAATAAATTCATGAATTAATTCACAAAAAGATAGGACATTCTTACATTAAATAACAATAATAATAAATTAAAATAGTATTTAAGCTATAGTTGGACATGAAAATACAAAAATATGTATTTGAAGCTATTAATATACTTTTTGGACTTTCTAGCAATTCCCTTCAACTTGAAGTTATTTTAAAATCATCTTTAATTGATTAATAATGTATCAAAGATAAAGAAGATTATTATACTTAAGATCAACATAGATGTATGCTTATCAATCATTATAAAATCTTTTGACTCAAAAAAAGAAAAAAGAATAAATATAATTTTGGAATAATTTTATTAGAGTTTTACATATTTATCTTTTAATTATATGCAAGAAATTTGAAATGCAAACATATGTTAGTCTTTAATCTCCAAGCTTTAACTATGTTATTATTATAAAAAGAGAAAAATAACTTCTAACAAAAAGAACTATATATACTATAAAATACTTAATATTTCTAATATATATATATATACATATATATATCAAATATTCAAATGACTTCTCTACTTACTAAATTGATCCATTCTATCATAACTATCATTAGAAAAATAAATCATCTCCAAAAACCATCATTACAATTATAGCCCTCATTTCCACCCTCCTTGTTTTTAACTCCCACTCCTTCCATTTCCAGCCTTCTTCATTATGATCCCCTCCCCTCCCTCCCATTCTCTTTTCTTTGCTCCAAGCTCTCATCTCAATCTCCCTCATTTCCTCTTATTCCTCCTCATTCTCCATGATAAGGTGGATCAATTTAATAAATAGGTGGGTCATTTTAACATTCCTATATATATATATATATATATATATATATTTGTTATAACTAATTTAGATTCATTTTATATTTCTTTATCACACAAATAGATTAGAAAAATAATAATTATGAGACAAACTTATATATTAGTAAAAAAAATCAACATTTTATCTTTTTTAACATCTATTTTTTTAAAATGTAATTATATATAATATTATTAGAAATTCTTTATTATTTGCAAGCCTACTTGATTACAATGTAATTGAGTAATGGATCTAATTGAGTAAGAAATATCAAGGACATATAAAAAATGCTTTATAATTTTAAAAAACTATGAATTATATATATATATATATATATATATATATATATATTTTGGGACCGTTTGGAAAGAATTCAATCACATGATTTATAACATCATTTATATTACCAAATTAACTATACACCTTTATTTGGAATGGCATAATAGATTGTGCTAAAATGGGATGATTAATTGTTAAAACCAAAACAAAACAAAATTCTGACACTTAAATAAATTCAATCAACTCTTTTGAACAACATAAAGAACAAATAAGTTTTTTTATATTAGCCCTATTCTAAAGCTTAAGATAACAAGATATTATATACTGGCAGGATATAGAAAATTTTTCTTTTATTAAAATATCCACCCAACTCACCTAATCCTTGCAAAAATAAAAATAAGAAATAAAATATAAGCACCAATGCTATCTGTTGTGGGACATGTACTTCTTCAGTAGAAGTCTTCTGTATTTTATTTTAAAAAAAAAATAAAAAAAAATAAAAAAAACAAAAACAAAAAACAACCTTAAGAAATGGGCAAGAATCACAGCAATCAAGTCCAATACACAACAATAACGTCCACAACCATGAAGGACCAGAGTGTCCCCAGCAAGCATCTTGAAAGTGGGGAATTTTTGGGGGTGAATCTGAAGACTTTTGAGCAATTCATCGAAAACATGTGTGTGGTTTTTTGAAGGGTAGGTGATAAAAGTTCCACAGAATTCAGGGTGGGGGTGGGTATCGACGTATTTTCGCCACCAACTTCAACGGCGTTATTGTGTTTTTTCTTCATGTAGTAGTAGACCACATGGGGTACAGTTGAATTGCATTGCATTGGGATAATATTGGCAACAAATGGGGTACGGCTCCCTTCCGCTTTTAGAGGCGCATTCTTCTCCTGTTTCCCGGACCAGACCCGGCAACAACATCAACCATCACTCACTCACTCACTCACTCCACTGCACCAAAATGGGACCCACCTACTGTCCAAGCCGAAGAACGAACAAGCTGGATCCCACCTTTGGATCCCACACTACCAGCCTCGAACTTTCCACAGCCAGCTCTGAACCCCCTCTCCTCGTTCTGCTGCAGGAGAGACTTGTCTTTCTCATTCATCAAAGTGGACGATGGTGGTGGTCCGCTCATGCCGAGATTAGCTGCTGCACCACGTGAAAAGGGTGGGTTCCTCCTCCTCTGCGGTACCCATTACTATTTACTGATGTTGTAGTAGTGGTAAGTAGGTAAGTAGGGAGGTGCCAAGTCTCTTCGCGGAGACTGGTTTCGTTTACTTCGGATATGCTATGCTAGATTGCTAAAACAAAAGAAGAAAAAAGAAGAAGAAGAAAGAGATGCCGCACAAATACAATCACAGAACAAAAAACAAAACAAAACGAAGCAAAACAGTGGGGTCATGCAAAAGGAATGAGAAGATGTTGATGCTGCTGTTGAAGGGTAAGCAAAGTTTCTATTGCAGGAAATAGAAACTGGTGACAAATAGAAACAGGAGCTTAGTGCACTTGCAGGCGTGAGAGCAAAGAAGGAGGAATAGAAGAAGTATCTTATTTGAAGGATCTGTCTGTAATTTAGATGTTTGAGTAGATTGTTTTATTTGTATGTGATTTGTATTCTTATAATTTTGATTATATATGATTATTACTATCATTATTATTAACAAAATTTTAATACATTGTAACAATGTATTAAAATTATAATTGTATATATATATATATGTATATATATATATAATTTTCAGATATTACGTTTAGAAATATATATTTTAGATATTTATGTGTATTATATGGTACATGTTCATTTCTATTTTATGTACTCTTCATTATTTTTATTTTTTGAACTTCATTTTGTTTTAGATAATAACTGAGCATTCTGTTTTTACAAAGGAAGATGAAAAAAATGTCATAATTACTTTAATGTTTTGATGATTAAAATTTATTATTATTATTTCTAAAATAATATTATTTTAAAACATTTGGATCATAATTTTATTTTGATTTTATTTTTTTTTAATTTGGTAGAAAATATTGCCATTGAAATTTTGATTGTATTGAAATTAACATTCTTTTAATTTATTATAGTTTTTAGAAATGCTATTTTTTAATTGTGATCTTATTCTTAACTTTAATTAGTTTTTAACTTTATTATTACTCAATGTCCTCATGTTTATTTTTTACCAATTATTTTGATTCAACTTATGCAAAATTAATGTTTATTTGAATGGATATCCTTTATCTGCAAAACAAAATCAAGTAAATCATTTAGAGTTGTGCTCTACATATTTGAAAGAAATGTTGGACTTTAATGTTGTAAAAGAATTTTATAAGGTTATTTATTTATTTATTTTCTATACAATGATATTAGTATTGTAAATTCTTCTTCAGAGATCAACATTAATAAATATCAATAGTACAAATTCTAGTAATATATAAAGTAATAAGTAAGAAATATCAAATTCCTCAATGCTTATGGATAATAAGAATTTATTTAAGACTTAAATTGTGAAAAAAAAAAAAAAAAATCTTTTAGGTATAAGATATTTAGCATTATAAAGTTAGTTTTTAACTATTAGTTCTTTTTATTTTTAAAATTTTTAAATATTTGATTTGTAATTAAAAAAATATGTTAAAAAATAACTGTAGATTTATTTATTTATAAGGACTAAAAAAATATTCTATTTTATCTTATATAATAAAATAAATTAATATTGACAACACTTTCTAATTGGTTATAGATTTGAGATAATGAATGGCTTAATACAAAAACAATAATAGTTAAGTAATTGGTTCTTTTCAAAAATAATAATATAGGAGCTAAAACATTGTTTACAAATGGAACTACAACTACATTATTACATATAAAAAATTACTTGATGGTGAGACCTTGTATTAAAAAATATATACATTTATGATTCCCATACATAGGTTCAATTATAATCTTACATTATTAGAAATAATTAAAGAAATGAAGTTAGTGAATTGTAGTGGCAACAATCAAAAATCAAAAGATTACTTCACTAAGGTATATAACATTAATGGTAGTACAAAAAAAAGTTCATTCTTATTATTGGATTAATGATTTGGCGAATTCTTAAACATATGAATAATTTGAATCAATATTATAAAAACATGCCTTTCTAAAATTTTATGAATCCTTTTATATGTTATGAATGATACATATGGATGAGAATAAATTCAGGGAGTTGTTAAAGCCATACCCCACATTACCATCCCATGATTGATTGCATCCATCCACATCTTTGTTCCTTATTCTAAGTCTCCCATCCCCCATCCCCCTTTCCTAGCCTATGTTCCCTATCCCCATCCCCCTTTCCTAGCCTATGTTCCCTATCCCCATCCCTCATTCTATGTCCTCCAAAATTAATCATTACTTAATTTTAGGTGTAGCTTTAACAACTTCCTAATATAAAAAGTAGAGAAAATATATTTTTTTAATATAAAAAATTGAGAGAATATCATGGGTACCCCTGCAATATGTTGAAATAGCAAATATACCTCTAATAGCAAATATATCTATTGCAAATCTACCCTTGAAGTTGATAAGCTGTAAACTTATTTCTATTTCAGGTGAATCCCGGGGCGGCAGATCCGTGAAAGCATGCGCGCATTGCTTTCAAGCCACTGACGTTCTTAGGATTTATCTCCATTTTTCCACTGAAGAAGGCAAATATATTTCTCGGATCTTTGATGTAAGATGCGGCGACAGAGGGCGAGACGTATGGAGGGATCTGTATGTGTTCTGCTGCTTGACAGGGATGAAAGTCCTGCACTCCTAAGTTTGAAGGATTAAAGAGTTTCGTGTAAATTCTGGTATTCCATGCCTCTGTCTCCTGCATCCACAATGTCATATAAAGTATCCTAGTCAGTATGAGAAATTATCAGTCATCGAACTTGGTCAAAACCGGGCCTTGTCCATGCCTAAACAAGAAATGAACGGGGATAAACTACAAACGTTTACAATATCCTATCTTAAGATTTGAAACTAAAGGAATCAGATTCCAATGCTCACCAGGGTATGAAAACAGACACTGTTGTCTTGTGAAGCGGCAAAAATCTGATCCCTTCCACCACTGCGATTCCAAAACTCCATCTTTGTCGACACATGATTCACGGCTGCTTCCATTAACTTACGCGCACGTCCGAGCCATGGAGTGCCAGTCTTTGGGCTAAATTTGCACGAGACATACACAAGTATGAAGAAATAATCGGCTTCGTAGGGATCCAAAGTCCCGATGGATCCAAATTTCCCACCGTAAACTCCATGGAAACTGGACAGATGAAGAAGTGATTGCTGAAAACTCTTCAAGAAGTAAGTAAACGAGCTATGGCTTGGAGTTTCTCTGTGCCCGTTACTCTTCAGAACTACTGAAACACGATGCATCGCTATTCTGGAAAGAAGATTGTCAAATTGGCCCAATTCAACAATCAAAATGTTTTACCGGCCGAGTAAAGATTTGAAGTGCTCTTGCTTTGAAGCATCGACAAAGAAAGTAAAGAAAAATGATCAACAACAGCGCCCCTTACTACCCACACCACTCAATTGCGTATTTTTGTCTTGAAGAGTTTCGAGCAATCACAAAACAGTGAAGCCCGCAGCTCGCTTATCTTTTTTGATCAGACTCATCATAAAGAATTGAGAGAAAGCAGCTATTCAGTGGATTTTTATTCCACAAGATTGCTTTTTATTCAGAGACTGCACCTTGATGTTGCCTTCGTTGTTATTGATTGCTTTTTATTTTAAACAAAATATTATTGATGTTTTGATCCTGGTTTTGAAATTACATTTTTAGTGCCTTTTTGCTATATTGCTGGAATGGTGAAACTAACTATTTCTAACACAAATTATAAATGTATCATCTATTTGAATAGAAAGATGGCTTTTATCATCTATAATTATAGTTTTTTATTAAATGTATTTAAGTATATTATTTTTAATTAAACATTTAAATCAAAATCAAAATCTGATTTTGATATTGTTAAGAAAATGGTTAAATTTAGTAAAATACAGAACACCAATTGGTTTATATACATAAATTAACAATAAATCAACACTGATGAATATGCAAGTAATAATGTTCTGAAAAACTTACTTCTTACACAAATTATGAATGTATCACAGACCAAATATTTTTTACTTTTAAATTTGGCATGTTTGTAAATTTTTCAAGGTCCTTGTTTAAACCTCACTTTCAAAATATGATGTTTTAGAAAAAACCATAAAAATTTGTTCCATAGACTTTTTAAAGAGTTTTTTTCCATCACAATTGCAGCACATTTGAAAGCTATTCAAAATAACAGAATTATTTCCTTTTTTGCCCGAAAATATTTAAGAAGTTCTTAACGACTCGCTAGAACAAACAGCTTATTAGTTTAAAAAACAAATAAAGAAAATAAAAATTAATGAACAGACGACCAAGTGAAAACTTATCAAAAAATCAAAATTATTCTGTCGGTATGTGAGTGAGTACAAATCCTGGGCAACTCGGCTCAATAAAAAATGAAACATTCAGTATTCACAAACACATAAGAATCAAGAATTTCATTAATCTTTACACCAAACACCGAATGAAAATAATTCGCCTAATAACACACAGGCCAACATCTAGAACCGGAAAAAAAAAAGGATCACAGACAAACACATGAAGTAATCAACTGCACTACTCTACAATACGTGCATGAAAACAACACAACATCACCCCCCACAAAAGAAAGCATGGCGTAAGAAGAACACACACAATTTCTAAACACACAGACAATGATCAAACCAAACACACACAGACACACAAACTGAATCATCAAACTGCACAGAATGCTTACGATCCAGAGTCGCATAAAGAGTGAGAGAGAGATGAGTACCAAAAACATTTGAGTTTAATTGCAATGGAATTGTACAAGTTTCCAGACAAGGCCATGGACACATTGTGCACAGCGAGCACGCTATCCGGCACCAAAAACTGGAGTGCAGATGCGAACTACGCTTCTTACAACATGCACACCAAAGCTATGTCAGGCACAACTGTACAAAGTATACATGTACAAAGTATACATGTACAAAGTATACATGTACAAAGTATACATAGAAACAACAATTCACACTCACATAGCCAAAAAGTGATCATGTGGCATGCGGTTTGGGCCCCGGATTCACCTAAAATAGAAATAAGTTTATGGCTTATCGAGGTGGATTTGCAACTATCACTGAAGGGTATATTTTCTATTATCAAGAATACATATGATATTTTTCTTAAGAGATATTGGCGCTTACAACATTAATAATATTTTTTGTGTAAATATTGTGTATAGAAATGTGATAGGTTTAATATATGGCTATATAATATGATTTATATGTATGTTAAAATAAGTTTACATAAAGAAGTAGATAAAGAAGTAGATAAGATTAATATTAAAAAATAAAGTTATAATTTAGCTATAGATTAAAATTTACTATTTTAATTAATTTTTTCAACAATATAACCTTACATTGTAAACTTAGCATTGTAAAAGAGAATAAAACATAAAAAAAAATAAAAAAAATAAAACACTAGTACCAAAATTTATAAAAATCATAATATATATATATATATATATATATATATATATATATATATATTTGTATGTGTTGTATTTATTCTCTTTTAAAGTATCCATATGAAAAATGATAAAATTTAGGAATAATTAGAAGATATAAATCATCTATTTATTGCAATAAAAATAAAACAAAAATAATATAACACAAATAAAATAATTATTTTAAATTTATGTATGTATATATATTTATGAATTATCTAAAAATTAGATTATGTATTTTTACATCTATATAAGTTTTTACATTTTTATATAATGAATTATGTATTTTTAGTTATTTTGATTATATGTTTTTTTTTAAAAAAGTATATATATATATATATATATATATATATTCTATTTATGGTTTATCTAAGTTTTAAAATGATATTAAAATAATAAAAATTAAATGAAAAAACTTACTTTTTAAACATATTTTCATGATATCATATGTTTCATAATATCATATGTAAAATTTAAATAATTTTAAATGCAATGAAGTAATAGAATTAAACTTTTCTAATAATTAGATGGCTTAAAATATTAATTTTAGATTAGAAATCAACATATGGTACATATTTTCTTAAAATATACTTAATTGTTACATGTACATAATACAAATAATATATAATTATTTTTTATATATAAAATATTTAATAAAATTTTAAACACTCTCAATTAAATAAATAAATGAAAAATTTTAATCTAATGCAAATCAAAAAATAAATATCTAATAAATTATTAAAATTAATATATTATTATTGAATTAAAAAATGTATGTCTTAGAAAATACTGAAGGTCATAACATGAAATAAAAAAATTGTTGGACAAAACACCTTCTAATTTGGTCAGCAGCAATCTATAAGATGTCACCTTTACATTCTCTAATATTATTTATTGTCCATATAATTTTGTGATTCCGTAATTCATTAGATTTATGAAGAAAAAATAAAAAAATTATGTGGCTTTCAAAGTCAATGAATTGTGGATCCCTACTTTTAAAAGAGATTGATAGGTTTGTTCTTAATACATTATTTATAATCTATAACAATTGTTTGGTATTGTTATTTTTAGATTATTGATTAAAGAACCATGCGTCTTATATTAAGTTAAATTAAAAAAAAAATCTTAACATTAAAACACTCTAATGTACAACAAAGTAACATGATCTCTCAACCATCAGTAGGTGTTTAACAAAATAGCCCGTAAAGCTCCAGTCTTCAACAGAAGCAGTACGTTGCCTTGAAGCATTCTTTTTCAGTGAAGCTGCAGATTGGATCCCAAATTAGGGTTCCACTTTTGCAGTGTGTAGATGTGACTAACATTGCATCTCAAGGCTCGCAGCAGAGACGTGGATAATTTAGATTAGATGAGTAAAGTGTTCAAATTTTTTCTATTAGTCAAGTGATCAGGACTCGTTAGAAAACCAAAGCTTGTGAGCATTGTTGCCATGTGACGAATCCTCACAAGGTTTGATAGATGTGATGAGAATTGAACCAACATTTGGGTGAATATCGATAAAACTGGATGTCCTCATCGGCTTTCTTTCGGGAGGATATGGAAGAATCTAACATGAAATTATTTATGCCTTTGCACAAATTCAAACTGGACAGTGTCCTTTGATTATGAGACTTGTATCGGTACACAATATAACAAAACTTGGAAGTGGGTGTTGAATGTGAGCTTTTTCTTCAGATTGTAGTGCAGCTCCAATTCTCTCCAAAAACAGGCACCGAGGACCTAGACTTCAGTTATGGATTTTGTACATAGTGGAATGCAAAAGAACGGCAACACTTGGTGAAGATTCATGTAGTTGTGGAAAGTCATTCTTTTTCTTTTGTTTACAGGCCAATAACAAATAATTTTCACACTGATGTATGTATTAATCATATTTCAATAATTTTTTGACATTCAATAAGTCCTGCAAAAATTACATTGTAGCATTTAGATACCTAAAACATCTCATGATCACAAAATAAGACCATCCATTTTAAAAATATTTCATAAAATGATTTTAATATAAAATTTAAATATATAAATATTTCAAATATATATAAAAACTGGATAATACTACACCTCCAAATTAGTTTATGATTCATTTAGTCCTGTCTCATTGTACTCCTACACTCTGTCATCATCTTCCACAAGATATGACTAAATGAAATCTAAACTACTAATGTATGTGTCTAAACCTAGTTTTAATGAAATCTAAACTACTAATAAATGCATCTAAACCTAGTTGTGATCAAGATAATAGCAATACTTTAGCTACTGCAATTAGTAATGTGGAGTCTTTATTATTAGATGATTGTTTGGTTCAGAATCAATCTCAAATAATCAATCTCAATTCTAGACCAAAGTATTTAAAAAACCAAGCTTTTATACCTAACAAGGTGTGGTTCAAGACAACTATCTACAATGTAAATTGATTGATCTCTAAAGTGATTTGAAGATGTTTTAGTATGCATTGCATTGAAGAGGTTTCGACATGTGCTAATTTCTTGTCTGAGTTCTTTTAAGATTGATATAAAGTCTTGATCTGAACACATTTTGCAATAGTTGTCTTTGCATAATGAGATAAGTTTTGAACCAAGAATTCCAAAGTATGGCATACACCATGAATTATTTTTTTAAAATTATATTTTCAAAACTAAAAAATACTTATTTAATTTTTATTGATGCAAAATATTATTATTGTGATTAACAAATGCTATATTATTCTACAAATTGTATGTTATAAAATCTATGTTTTGAAGTTATGTATTTTGACATTTCACACTAAAGATAATATAAACTATTATTAGTTGAAGTTATATTTTGTAGTTGATGGCTTATAAAGTGATGTAGAATTCTTTAAGAACAATATGGTGATTACTCTCTTTATGAATTGTCAATTCTTATTTAATCAAATTATGTATTTTGTTTGGTTTTCATTGGATTCTAAGTCTTTTTTATAATCTTTTGTATAAAACAAATAATTTTCACCATTTTTTAGTAATTACTCACTAAATGTTTTGTAGCATGAAAAGCTTTTGGAATAAATCTTGCAGTAATTTCGAGCTAGGTATCAAGGACATAAACCTCAAAGAACTAAAATGTCAATATATTCTTGTGTCACTTAAAAAGACTAGAAAATCACTCAAAGATGATATAATATTAAATTATAATGGCTATTTCCAAAGATAAGAAGATTAGAAAGTCTTGAAATAAGACTAAAGACTAAAAAGGTGTTGACAAGAGTAAAGAAAGCTTCATTCTTGCCTCCGTAGATACTCTTAACTAGGAGC